GTTTACCTTTCTTGAAGCTGAAATGTTGTTTTGAGCATGTGAGTTTTCCTCAATCTCTTTCGGAGAGGCAAATAGTTGTTTTCCCCTAAGAGCGAGATTCTGATCGACAAAGTGAAAGATCTGATCGCGCCCTGTGTTATCAGGATTAAATCCAGCGCAGTATTTAGGTAAGAAAAGTAAATCTACTGTTTGTCTTTGTTAAGAGTGATTTGTTATGCGACTTTTTTAATGATAACGATATGGGATTTCGATGTGGACAATGTGCAGCTTTCTTTGACTGCCTCTCAGAGTGCAGTTAAAGCCAAATTTCTTCTTCAATGACTTCTATCCTTTCTATGGCTTATTTAGATCTACAAAGAGTGAAATGCGACTGCAGCATGTCGTTGCATCAAGGGAAGGTCTTGCTTGCATTTCCCACTTCTAAGAAAACACAAACAGCCATCTCATCATTGCAAAAGCTGTTGTTGACGGACAAGAGCGAAGAGGAAGACGACACGGAGTAAGAAATGGAACAAGAGCAAAAGATGGAGCAAGAGGAGGAGGAGCAGATTTTATAGCCATTCGATTGACAGTCGTAAGCAAAAGAGCTCTCGAATTGATCGCACCCGAGAAGACATCTCGTGATGTCTCTGAAACTTTTACGTTAAAAGGTACGTAGTTCCTATCACGAGCATTTTCAAAATACTATTAGAAGCTGCCAGGAAAAAAAGGACTAGGAAAGAAACAGTAGTGCCCGTGAAGTTAAGTTTTGAACCAGTGAACATTCAGGAGGCAAATCCCATACTTGTGCATGCCTGCCATGGAAAATTGTGGTAACCAATAGCCCATTTTCACGATGACAACATTTAACTACAACTCACAGAATTCATTTCGTTTTTGCACGGTAGGTATCGCAAGAGAAACACGCTAGCCCCAACAACACTTAGCTTGGCTGGTTTCCATGGAGGGCGTGTTAACACATATAAAAACCTTATATAAATTCCTTAACTAATACTTAAATTTCTTATGCTACTAGTACTATACTATTTCTATTACATTTAAGTATATAAAAAGCTAACCACTAATAAGATACACAGCTTGTCAATACCCAACCATAATCTAATAAGGCTTTTAAATGAAGAGATTGACTCAGCGAGCATTCGTGAGCTGGTTCCAAAGAATAGTACGGCTAAATTTAATACTTCTTTCGACAAACCCTCTTTTCGGTTAGTGTTAGATCAGTAGCCGTGTCACGTAGATGGTAATTAGTCTGATCGGCATTCCTTCTCACAAAAGAGTTCCTTAGGCCGGTGGCGGTGTGATCATTTAATATTTAATTATGCATTAAAATTGACTTTGCACAACGCCGTCGATCATCAAGTGTTTGCCAAGAAACAGAGTCAATTAAGTCTGCAGAGCGAGTATCATGACTGGCACCTTTGAAGAACTCTAGAAGCACGTGACTAAACTCGTTGCAGTTTATCTTTCAATAACTTACCGCAGGTGTCCCACAAAGGGGAACAGTACTCAAAATATGGCTGAACTAAGCCCTTATAAACTGTTTCCAGAGTAGTTACGGGAACAAAATTTTTGATGCACCGCATGGCTCCTATACCCGCGCTAACTTTTTTACGGATCGTATCGACAGGACAGTCCCAGCTAAGCTTTTCATCTATGTGAACCCCTAGGCACTTATGTGCACTAGTTCTCGATATAGGTTGATCATTTACCACAACAGGTTGCTAACTTATCTCATTGTTCAGACTGTAGGAGGACCCAATATACAAGAGTTTTGATTTAGAAGTTTATTCTTGATGAGCCACTTTCGGACTTGAGAGAGATCAGAATTAAGCTTCACGATAAGTTTGTTTGCATCGTAAGAGGAAGCAAAAGATTTGTGTATCATCTGCATAAATACAGGGAGTTTTTAATTTTAGACTCTCAGGCAAGTCCTTGATGTATGATAGAAACAAAAGTCGCCCTAGGATTGATCCCTGAGGGACTCCGCAAGTGATAATTTTCTTAGATGACAGCTGATCGTTGATAATGCATTGCTCTTCCCTGTTTGTTAGGTATGGTTTAAACCAGTTCAACTCCATACCAATGATACCAAAAAGTTCGTTCATCTTAAGTTGGTTATCGGGATGTCATGATTAATGGAATCAAAAGCTTTCTTGATGTCCAGAAATACAACACCATTCAGCAACAAACTGAAGCATTCTAGTAGTTGTAGTTAAATTGTCGTCATAGTACAATAGTACTATTGGCTACATCCCAGGGGTAAAGTTTTCAAAGTTACACAACACATGCTATTAACAATAAGGAGATTACGAGCATGGAAATCACTTCTATCAGGTACAAGTGCACGAGAAAGATGCGATAGAATCGTGGCAATTTTAGCGCGAAGCATCATGGGATACTTAATTTATCCTCCTTTAGCTAAACAATAGAAATCACAGCGGTAACTGTCAGCGCTTGTCAGTGAGAACGTGATGAATTTGAAACACGATCAATTTGAAAAAAGAAGTAAAAAAAATGCATTCTTTGCAGCCAAGCACTTTGTCTTCTTTGTCTGTCCCATCCTTCTGAAACTGGGAATGGAAAAAAAACGATCCTTCGACAAATGGTCGGACGAGAAGAGAAAATGTTTTCTGGTATCTGGCCTTCTTTAGTTCTCAATGTGTCAAAGCAAAAACAATTAACTCTCACCTAATGCGATCCTCTTCGGTTGGACTAAGAGTTTTCTTTTCCGTTTGCGGTTTCGAATTTTTGTGGTGTTTTAGCCGGCAAAGATGAAAACTTTCCCTAGTGCGACCCATATCAATGTCATTTTATGCGATCCATCATCACTATTGTACAAAGATACTGTCACTGATACTCGGCCGTTTAGTATCTTTAACTGTCAGATGTCGTAAGATTTCTTGCAGAATAATATTAAACAATGTTACGTATATTTTACTGTCGCTCTCCATTGTCAGCTTTTGTTTAATTGTGCGTACGGTGTACTTGAATACGCAAAAATACGGACTGCATGTTTTGTAGTCTAAGTTACTAGTTGGCACTGAACTTTGTTTACATTATTAATCGCTTGAAAGAGTGTTGATTGTTCTATTGTTTCCTTACATAAAGTGTTTTTGTACGATACAACATTAAAAAAGACACATTAGACCACGCCCAGTGAAATCTGGTTTTCACTAGCGACGGAGTCGGAGTCGGAGTCGTAAGAGCGCTTATGACCTAGTGAAAATCAAAAATCGGAGTCGTACGCGAAATCATAAGCGCGACGCAATCGGAGTCAGAAGAATCAGAACGTTTCCATTTCTTTCGACTCCGCTTATGATCTAGTGAAAACCAGATTGTCGGAGTCGGAAGCAGAAGCGAAAGGATAAACCAATCACAATGCACGTTCTCACGCTTTGTGATTGGTTTAGTTCTTCCGCTTCTGCTTTAATCAGAAGCACTACCCAGATCTGGGTAGTGACGCGTCATCAATATGGAATTTTTGCACTCGCTTCTCAGACGTCATTTGGCGGGGAAACCAGTGGTAGCGTCGCCAAATGCCGGCTGTTTTCTGAGGCTTCACGATCAGTTCAATTCAAAATGGATGCGGTAGTGGAGGAAGCGTGGCAAGCACCAATCTTTCGAAAATCAAACTTGTTATATTTGTACTGCCTAGATACCGAGTATGTTTTTGACCTGACTGTGACCAGTTTACCTTTCTTGAAGCTGAAATGTTGTTTTGAGCATGTGAGTTTTCCTCAATCTCTTTCGGAGAGGCAAATAGTTGTTTTCCCCTAAGAGCGAGATTCTGATCGACAAAGTGAAAGATCTGATCGCGCCCTGTGTTATCAGGATTAAATCCAGCGCAGTATTTAGGTAAGAAAAGTAAATCTACTGTTTGTCTTTGTTAAGAGTGATTTGTTATGCGACTTTTTTAATGATAACGATATGGGATTTCGATGTGGACAATGTGCAGCTTTCTTTGACTGCCTCTCAGAGTGCAGTTAAAGCCAAATTTCTTCTTCAATGACTTCTATCCTTTCTATGGCTTATTTAGATCTACAAAGAGTGAAATGCGACTGCAGCATGTCGTTGCATCAAGGGAAGGTCTTGCTTGCATTTCCCACTTCTAAGAAAACACAAACAGCCATCTCATCATTGCAAAAGTTGTTGTTGACGGACAAGAGCGAAGAGGAAGACGACACGGAGTAAGAAATGGAACAAGAGCAAAAGATGGAGCAAGAGGAGGAGGAGCAGATTTTATAGCCATTCGATTGACAGTCGTAAGCAAAAGAGCTCTCGAATTGATCGCACCCGAGAAGACATCTCGTGATGTCTCTGAAACTTTTACGTTAAAAGGTACGTAGTTCCTATCACGAGCATTTTCAAAATACTATTAGAAGCTGCCAGGAAAAAAAGGACTAGGAAAGAAACAGTAGTGCCCGTGAAGTTAAGTTTTGAACCAGTGAACATTCAGGAGGCAAATCCCATACTTGTGCATGCCTGCCATGGAAAATTGTGGTAACCAATAGCCCATTTTCACGATGACAACATTTAACTACAACTCACAGAATTCATTTCGTTTTTGCACGGTAGGTATCGCAAGAGAAACACGCTAGCCCCAACAACACTTAGCTTGGCTGGTTTCCATGGAGGGCGTGTTAACACATATAAAAACCTTATATAAATTCCTTAACTAATACTTAAATTTCTTATGCTACTAGTACTATACTATTTCTATTACATTTAAGTATATAAAAAGCTAACCACTAATAAGATACACAGCTTGTCAATACCCAACCATAATCTAATAAGGCTTTTAAATGAAGAGATTGACTCAGCGAGCATTCGTGAGCTGGTTCCAAAGAATAGTACGGCTAAATTTAATACTTCTTTCGACAAACCCTCTTTTCGGTTAGTGTTAGATCAGTAGCCGTGTCACGTAGATGGTAATTAGTCTGATCGGCATTCCTTCTCACAAAAGAGTTCCTTAGGCCGGTGGCGGTGTGATCATTTAATATTTAATTATGCATTAAAATTGACTTTGCACAACGCCGTCGATCATCAAGTGTTTGCCAAGAAACAGAGTCAATTAAGTCTGCAGAGCGAGTATCATGACTGGCACCTTTGAAGAACTCTAGAAGCACGTGACTAAACTCGTTGCAGTTTATCTTTCAATAACTTACCGCAGGTGTCCCACAAAGGGGAACAGTACTCAAAATATGGCTGAACTAAGCCCTTATAAACTGTTTCCAGAGTAGTTACGGGAACAAAATTTTTGATGCACCGCATGGCTCCTATACCCGCGCTAACTTTTTTACGGATCGTATCGACAGGACAGTCCCAGCTAAGCTTTTCATCTATGTGAACCCCTAGGCACTTATGTGCACTAGTTCTCGATATAGGTTGATCATTTACCACAACAGGTTGCTAACTTATCTCATTGTTCAGACTGTAGGAGGACCCAATATACAAGAGTTTTGATTTAGAAGTTTATTCTTGATGAGCCACTTTCGGACTTGAGAGAGATCAGAATTAAGCTTCACGATAAGTTTGTTTGCATCGTAAGAGGAAGCAAAAGATTTGTGTATCATCTGCATAAATACAGGGAGTTTTTAATTTTAGACTCTCAGGCAAGTCCTTGATGTATGATAGAAACAAAAGTCGCCCTAGGATTGATCCCTGAGGGACTCCGCAAGTGATAATTTTCTTAGATGACAGCTGATCGTTGATAATGCATTGCTCTTCCCTGTTTGTTAGGTATGGTTTAAACCAGTTCAACTCCATACCAATGATACCAAAAAGTTCGTTCATCTTAAGTTGGTTATCGGGATGTCATGATTAATGGAATCAAAAGCTTTCTTGATGTCCAGAAATACAACACCATTCAGCAACAAACTGAAGCATTCTAGTAGTTGTAGTTAAATTGTCGTCATAGTACAATAGTACTATTGGCTACATCCCAGGGGTAAAGTTTTCAAAGTTACACAACACATGCTATTAACAATAAGGAGATTACGAGCATGGAAATCACTTCTATCAGGTACAAGTGCACGAGAAAGATGCGATAGAATCGTGGCAATTTTAGCGCGAAGCATCATGGGATACTTAATTTATCCTCCTTTAGCTAAACAATAGAAATCACAGCGGTAACTGTCAGCGCTTGTCAGTGAGAACGTGATGAATTTGAAACACGATCAATTTGAAAAAAGAAGTAAAAAAAATGCATTCTTTGCAGCCAAGCACTTTGTCTTCTTTGTCTGTCCCATCCTTCTGAAACTGGGAATGGAAAAAAAACGATCCTTCGACAAATGGTCGGACGAGAAGAGAAAATGTTTTCTGGTATCTGGCCTTCTTTAGTTCTCAATGTGTCAAAGCAAAAACAATTAACTCTCACCTAATGCGATCCTCTTCGGTTGGACTAAGAGTTTTCTTTTCCGTTTGCGGTTTCGAATTTTTGTGGTGTTTTAGCCGGCAAAGATGAAAACTTTCCCTAGTGCGACCCATATCAATGTCATTTTATGCGATCCATCATCACTATTGTACAAAGATACTGTCACTGATACTCGGCCGTTTAGTATCTTTAACTGTCAGATGTCGTAAGATTTCTTGCAGAATAATATTAAACAATGTTACGTATATTTTACTGTCGCTCTCCATTGTCAGCTTTTGTTTAATTGTGCGTACGGTGTACTTGAATACGCAAAAATACGGACTGCATGTTTTGTAGTCTAAGTTACTAGTTGGCACTGAACTTTGTTTACATTATTAATCGCTTGAAAGAGTGTTGATTGTTCTATTGTTTCCTTACATAAAGTGTTTTTGTACGATACAACATTAAAAAAGACACATTAGACCACGCCCAGTGAAGTCTGGTTTTCACTAGCGACGGAGTCGGAGTCGGAGTCGTAAGAGTGCTTATGACCTAGTGAAAATCAAAAATCGGAGTCGTACGCGAAATCATAAGCGCGACGCAATCGGAGTCAGAAGAATCAGAACGTTTCCATTTCTTCCGACTCCGCTTACGACTCCGTCGGTTACGTTCCGCTTATGATCTAGTGAAAACCAGATTGTCGGAGTCGGAAGCAGAAGCGAAAGGATAAACCAATCACAATGCACGTTCTCACGCTTTGTGATTGGTTTAGTTCTTCCGCTTCTGCTTCCGACTCCGACAATCTGGTTTTCACTAGATCATAAACGTAAGCGACGGAGTCGTAAACGGAATCGGAACGCTATTTTCACTAGATCATAAGCTCTACGCTTCTGATTACGACTCCGACTTCGACTCCGACTCCGTCGCTAGTGAAAACCAACCTTAAGTATTTTAGTGATCCTGTATTAAGAGGCCAGTTCCTCAAGTCCCGAGGCTGGCCGTTATGTACAGGATCGAATGTATTTCCCATCCAAAGGCTGTTGCTAAAGCAATCAATATTTCATCCGTGATGGCTGTTTGTTCTATAGTTTGCAACCTTTACACGTAAAGCTTCACTGAGAAATTCCGCAGGACATTTTTGGTTGTGTTCAAATGCCAATGTCAGAGGAGAATGACAGCCAGCTAGGAAACACTCAGTCATCTACAGGTTGTGTGGAATTGGTTGTATGAAGTCACATCACATGGATTAGGCTATAGCACCAGCCGCTTGGGGTTCATGAACGTAAACTCCACAAGTATTTGTATTTCCCCCCTAAAAAATTCAGGAATATAAGTGTGTGAATCTTGATTATTTGTTTTTCTTATAGCAAGGTTTGGAGAAGAGGTTATGATTTGGGTTAGTACACGTAGAATATTAGGAAAACAAGAAACAATACCACACAATCGAGATAAACTTTGTTTATTCTTTCTCGAATGAAACAAAGAAAACCATTTTGTTCTTACACATTGTTACACTTATTTTTCTAATCGGCGTCAACAAGAAAATAATCGAGTACAATTTTGGTTGTTCTTTTTGGAATGAAACAAACTAAGAAATCTTCAACTTTGTTTATTCTTCTCGAATGAATCAAAGGAAACTTCCTTCTATACTCGTTTGCGCTAACAACAGACTGAGTCAAGTACAACTTTGTTTATTCTTTGTCGAATGAAACAAAGAAACTTTTCTCTAATAATCTACCTAATCTGCGTTAACAAGAGAGAAATCGAATATAACTTGGTTTATTCTTTTTAGAATGAAACAAAGAAACCTGTTCCTCTTTAAATTATCTATCTAATCTGCGTTAACAAAAGAATGATCGAGTTTAACTTTGTTTATTCTTTCTCGAATGAAACAAAGAAATTTGCTCTTAAAAGAAAAAAAAAAAAAGAAAACTCCACTACAACTTTGTTTATTCTTTCTTGAATGAAACAAAATTACTCTCCTAGTTTGCCAAACAATGACTTATCAAGCTCAACTTTGTCTATTCTATCTTGACTGGAACAACAAAACAGCAGGAAACCCGTTTGCAAAGTCACACTCTGCTTCAGTTCAATTCAGTAAATTTTGATTTAAAATTGACTTTGCTTATTCTTTCACTGAGAATCAACCAAAGTGCACTTAGCTACTTAGTTTGTAACCTGACAATGAGTTTGCCAAGTTCACTGACTTTCTCGATGCACCATTTATCTTTGAGAGGGGGCGGGGATGTGCCATTTTTTCGAGCACGAATGTTTTCAACGGCTAATTGTTCTGCATTGATTTTCTTGGCGGTTCCCCTTGCCGAGCTTTTTTTTGTTTTTTTGTTTTTTTGCGTTTTTTCACCATCAGCATAATCGCAAAGGAAAAAGCATCTTTTTTTTGTTTTGACAAAGCCATGCATTTAATTGCCCTCCCCCATCAAAATTTAAATGCTCCACCCCTTTGTGGAAAAAAAAAAATCATGACCTCTGTCTTTTCAAGTATGTTGATAAGGATTTGCTCTTATTACCTCAGTCAGCATTTTCTAGAAAAATACTGTGAAACCTCGTAAACGAGACCGTCCAAGGTTCAAGAAAAGTTTCTTTGCAGCTGGTCAGCTACATGGTACAAAAACGCCAAGCTGGCACAAGACGAACAAAGAGCTCACATCAAGTTCATTTGTCTCCTCCCACAGCGTTTCTTTCCTCTCAGCCGCATGGCATTTTTGTACCAAGTGACTGACCAACTGCAAAAGACCAATATGGAAGTGACATTATTAACTTGGTTTTCACATAAGAAGTTGACTGAGTGACTTTGTGATTGGTCAAAAGAATTTAGTTGTAATAACGAGAAGGTCGTGTGAACCAGTTGATCTTAAAGCGGGTTTCCAATTAAATCTACTCAGAATTAGGCACGAGTGCTGGCAAAAACTCACTTCTTTCCAAGGGAAAAGCCCTGGTGAAGAAGCTGCACTCCCCCCGGGGCTGCACTGCCAAGCAAATGAATGTTTAGCAGAAGCAGAAACAGAGGGCGCTATTTTAGCCTCACTGCTTCATTGCCTTTATTCAAACAAAGTTCCTATGTAACAAAGTGCCGCAATGAAGGCCGAGATCATGGCAACCAATGATTGTAGCTTGTTAATGTTGCCTCCTGCAGTTGGTGGACAAGCATCTAAGGCCTCGAGGTCTTTCAGATACACGTCACCAAGCCATTTCTGGTAGGTGTTTTTTTCTCCAACATCAACCAGCTTCTTTGTCGAATCTTTGAATAAGAGATCAGAGCCGTTCATGTACTTGAATGACTCAAATAACTGGAACATGCTGGAATTAGTTTGATTGATTCCGTAAGCGTTAGAAGCATCCAGCAATAGTCTTTTGTAGTTGGCATTGTTAGTGTTTCCTCTTTTCACCATCACGGCATGGGATGGAACTTGCGCGAGGTAACAGTTGTCGTTCCAGTTGGCTGGAAAAGAATGTCACCATTTTTAATTTCAATATATTCCATCCATTTTGGGTTTCTAGCGAGGCATAGTTAGCGTTTTAACGGTTTCCGAATTATATCATCACGACATGGGACGAAACTTGAGCTAGACAACATTTGTTGTACGCATGTGAAAAACAAACGTTTTTTATATCTGTCTGAATTTATAAAAAGGTACCTAAAGAAATTTCAAGTGAGTTTTAACAATTTGACCCTTGAGGTGAATAAAAAACTGTTGAAATTTTCTAGTTAAGGCTTTAAAAGAACAAATTAATCGCTGGAGACACACGAAAAGTCGCTCTTGGCAAAAGCGACAGATTTGTAACGAAATGAACAACATCTATTTATAAGCACAGAAATTATGATCTTTCAGTCTCGCAAACTATGAGGCTTATAGCGAGACGCCCGACTAAAATAGACCGAAAATTTACCTTTCTTGAG